CAACGTTCCCTAAAATTAACTTAATAAACTTTACTTAAAGTTTTAAGTCAACTTTGCACTGTACGTGCGCGCCCGCACGTGGTATTTTGTGGAAGAGCCACACTCAAGGGGCCAAAGAGCCGCATGTGGGTCGTGAGCCACGGTTTGCCGACCACTGGCCTAGGACAACCAATCCACTGGGAGGAGGCAGTGCTGGAATTCACCCCCAGGCCTACCTGACCCCAGATCTGCTGCTCCTCACGGTTTTGTGCTGCTGGTGCAGGCAGGTCCTGGGTACTCATGAGTAGTTCCAACCTCCTTAAGCTTGATCCTGCCCCCAGGACCCAACTGACATCCTGCTTTCAATCAAGTTAGTCACAATCAAATTAGTTGGGAACCAATGAACAGAGGTATTGGGAAGGTCAGAGAGAGACACGCTGGCTGCTGGCCTCCAGTCTACCCCTAAGCTAGACACTGCTCCTGGCCTAGACGACTCTGGGCCTCTGCATGCCCAGGCTGCCTTCTCATTTCCAGCACCCACCTAAACACCAGATTCCCCAGGATCTATATTTGCAAGGGTCCTAATGGATGGATGGAGGAATAGTTGGAGGGAAAAACTATTTATGAATATTTTATTATATTCATTATTTATTATTATTTTTTTTAGCTTGATGTGTTTTATTTTTGTTTATGTCTAAATTCTCTTCCCTGCTCCTGTACTGACGGGGAGGCAAGTGTTAAAATAATGGCAATGCCTCACAAGTCTTCAAAGCAAACTTGTCTATCCGTAGTGACAGTGGACATTTACTATATGCCAGGCACTTTATTTTTTAAATTGTTTTATTGCTTAAAGTATTACAAAGAGTATTATATATGTCTCCTTTTTTTTTCTCCCCTTGACCTGCCCCTAGCCTCCCATACCCCCCAGTATCTTGTGTCCATTGGTTATGCTTATATGTATGCATACAAGTCCTTCAGTTGATCTCTTACCCCCCTCCCCCCGCAACCCTCCCCTGCCTTCCCACTGTAGTTTGACAGTCTGTTCAATGCTTCTTTGACTCTGTATCTATTTTTGTTTTTATATGTTTTTTAAGTTGACTTTTAGAGAGAGGAAGGGAAAGGGACAGAGAGATAGAAACATCAATGCGAGAGAAACACCCATCGACTGCCTCCTGCACAACCCCTACTGGGGATTAGGCCTGCACCCCATTCATGTGCCCTGACTAGAAATTGAACCATCAACCTCTTAGTTCATGGGTCAGCACTCAACTGCTGAGCCACACTGGCTCGGCATTTATTATCTACTAGAGGCCTGTTGCACGAAGAGATTCGTGCAATAGGCCTTCCTTTCCCCTGGCTGCTGGCACCGGTTTTCCTCCGGCACCTGGGACCCAGGCCTTCGCTCTGACTGGGGCTCTGGCCAGAGCTGGCCCCAGAGCCGTCAGGCCTCGCTGCTCTGCCCCTGGGCCATCAGGCTTTGCTCCACCGCTTGGAGCCTGTGTATGCAAATTAACCGCCATCTTTGTTGGGTTAATTTGCATACTCTCCTGATTGGCTGGTTAGTGTAGCGAAGGTATGGTCAGTTAGCATCTTTGTATATTATTAGGTAAGATTATTGAATCAGATTCCAAAGTCTAAATCTAAAAGAAAAAAATCTGTGAAGTTTCTTGTGCAGCAACTCTTCCAAAAATGGAGTAATGAATCTCCCAATAAAGTTGTATATATTCCCAGGAAATATTCTTCTTTGTTTGGTCTGCAAACTGATGTGTGCCTGTAGAACAGCATTTTCTCAGTAGCAATCTAAATGTTGCATCCTCATTGAGCGCAATTCACAGTCATCAGGTAGTAAGAGATAATAGCTAACAGTGGTCACAGTAACAGTAATTCATTGTTCTATACTTACTGAGGGCTTTCCATGCACTAAGTGATAGCACAGGTTCTACCTGTTACAGATGGGGGTGGGCACTCTTGTCACCCCTGTTTACAATGAGGAAACTTGGGCACAGAGAGGTTAAGTGGTTTGTTCAGAGCCATAAAGTTAGTAAATGATAAAACTAGGATTAAACCCAGGCAGTCTGGCTTCTAATTTTATTTCCTTGTACTATTAAAACAACCAGTCTTCTTCTATCTGATTATCAACTAAATCATTTTTATATTTTGGCAAAGAAGGCCAATGCTAAAGTGTATTTGGTACTTTGAGCAGCTCACGAAGCCCTATTGCAGAGAGTGAGCGCAGTAGTCTCCCAGGCGGGCTGCCCACGAGGATGGTGACTTGGAACTAAAGATGAGGGAAATTGTGCCAGCGTTTCTCACCACTCTAATAACTGCATTACCTTGACAATATGCTCCTCTTGGTTACACTGATACAACTTTTTTTCCACAAAAAAATATTCTTAGTCTAAACTTTCTTTGGGTACTTTTGAAAGGTCATGACAGAGAGGAAAAGAAAAAAAAAACCCCACTAAAATAACAAGTGACCTCCAAATTAAAATACATGGGGATCTTTTCACCTCAAATTCAAACTCAATAGACCAAATATTGACTGAATTGTCTATTTTAGTGCAAAGTTTACAGAAAGTTTTTCTGTCTCTGCTACCTGCTTTCAGCCAAAACTTAAATTTATTGAGAATCCTATGGTGGAAAGTTTTAATTCGAATTTCTCATTGGTATTCTCTCTGTGAATCGAATCTTGAGTACGAGTTCAGTGGTAGCAGAGCTTATATTTCCAGAGGGTTGGGGCTTACAGTTTACAGTGTTAAGTCTTTCACTGAAAGAACCTTGAAAGTGTGATCAACACGATTGTTACCTGGTTTTCAATAATAACAACTGTGAACTTGCCCATTCCTTTGCATTTAATTTTCCATGCTTATCACATGGCTCTGTACCATAGACATGATCTCTTAGAACTTTAGAGAATTTCTGAAGTCAGGAAAAAACCAAGCAAACAACAACAACCAGTCACTCTTCTGTTCCACTAAACCTGACCCAGTGTTCTGCCTGATTCTAATTACCTTCAACAATTTACCCAGGATGCTTCAGTGTAACCACCTGGAAAAATGAGGGTGGAACTTTGATTCTGGGAGGCATATGGAAATTTAATTACTAGGTTTACAAAGTATTTTAAAATCCCCAGATAAAAGTGACCAGAGGACTGGAGACGAATATCATTATTCGCAGCACCTGACCCAGTGTTCTGCCTGATTCTAATTACCTTCAACAATTTACCCAGGATGCTTCAGTGTAACCACCTGGAAAAATGAGGGTGGAACTTTGATTCTGGGAGGCATATGGAAATTTAATTACTAGGTTTACAAAGTATTTTAAAATCCCCAGATAAAAGTGACCAGAGGACTGGAGAGGAATATCATTATTCGCAGCAGTGGGATTATGTGTGTGTGTGTGTGTGTGGGGTGGCTCTCAGCCCCATCCTCTGCAACCAGCCTCAAGGGGAGATGGAGAAAGAATCATTTATTCACCTTCTGGCTGCAAGAAGTGCAGGCTGCAGCTGTGGCAATTCTAGCACCGAGGAGAAAATACACATAGGAAAAAAGAAGGCCATGTCTCACTTCCAAATTAAAAAAAGACATTTCTACATGTTTCCATAACCCACAGACTGCTGCCATTTGAGGCCAACCCCTCAAAGTTTCCCTCTTTGTCTAGTGTAGTTGCTGAATCTAGGCCACTGTCAGCAATCCTTTTCATTCACCCGGGCCCAGCCCCACGCCTCACAGATGCAGAGGTTCTCTTGAGACATGTGTACTTTGGTATCAAACAATGCAACTCATGTTTGATTTTGGATAACCTTGCACTGTGAATAAAATAACCCTTGAGAAAGAAGCAATAAAAGCGCTGTAAGAAAAATGACTCATGTTTCGAAGCTGTCTAAAGTGATCACTTATCCAAACAAATGGTAATTCTTTCAAGACACAGTGGGCATGCACCATACTTATAAAAGTCTGGGAGAAAAGCCTTGCACATTTTTTTAAAAATTTGTGTTAAAATATATCAAAAGAATGTTTCTGGTAGGCTGTCCCAGACCGGGTATGCTTAAAAATAAAAACAAAAACCACATGCATGCGAAAGCCAAGGTGGATTGGCACAAGGGGAGGTCCTTGCCCAGCATCCGGCTCCTTGGCTTGTTTATGTCCTTGTTTATGTGCCTCTAATTGTTTTCCATTTTCTGCCCCCATTCGTTAGAGTGCAAAGATGTGAGCAAAGTGGCTTACTGCCCGCTGGTGTACAAGTTCCAGTTCTGCAATCGAGCATACTTCAGACAGATATGTTGTAAGACCTGCCAAGGACAGTGACCCACGGAAAGCCGGAGAGAGAGCCTTGTCATTTCATCCTGGAAACGTGTCCATCACAGAGAGCCACCCGGAGGAAGAGGATTGGTGTCCTTGCAGATGCATTACCCTGTGGAAAACGTAACCACTGGTCAGCCCTAGCTGACAGGATTTCAATATTATTTTAACTTCTGTGAAGTAGGATTTATTGATCCAAAGTGCTGGACACAGTTTTAGGAGGGAATGCCAGATTGGAGAGATCCAAACAACACAGGGAGACTTGCTTACTGTGGAACGTTTGTGTTCTTTCGAGTAAATCCAATAGCCTGTTTACCTCCTTGGACCATTAAGATAATTTTTATTATAGACTTAGCAATGACACTGAATCCATTTGTATTTAAAACTGTTTAAAAATGTAGCTGGTATGACTTGGTCAACTATGGAAGTAAAGAAGATTCAGAAATCTTAAATCATAGCTTAAAAAATATTTACTATACTTTATCTCACTACAACAGCACCACCATTTAAATTCTAAACTGGGCTTTAACCTGTAATTTAAGGAGCAATTATAAATCAAGACTAATGAAAGTTTGTATGATTTTTTTTTCTTCCTTCTACTTAATTTCCTTAGGAATAATCCCCCTGTTCTGAACACTGCTGTGAGCCATATATAAAACTACATTAAACCGAACGACAGTGAAGGACTTAGTTGAAAGCAGTGCCTCAGTTACTGCAGCTGTGTAGCTCTATAAACTCAGTGCTAAAAGACTGTGGCCCGCCTGCCATTGTGCAAGTGAAGCTGAGATTCTCATTAACACTTTAAGAGAAAAAACATTTCAATGTCATGCAGAAGCCAGACCTGGGGTATGGTAGAGACTCAAGTACCAGGTCCTGTGCTGCCATCACACAGGGATGCCTCAGCTCTTAATAGGAGTCACTCCAACTCACTCGTGTTTACAGCCACAGAACGGCTTCTGCCCCACTGGGTGGCTGCACCTACACTAAGCTTACTGAGACGATACCAGGCAAAAAAGATAGACTGGCTCAGTAACAACCAGGCAGACCCTTTTGCTGACAGTTACGATGGGTTCCAGATGTCCCTTCTTTGATATGGCAGGAGGGCATTTATTTATATGGGAGCAAGTGTGTGTGTGTGTGTGTGTGTGTGTGTGTGTGTGTGGGCGCTTTTGAGTGTGTGGGTAGATGAGTGTGCTTGCACGTAAACGTGCTATTTCTCTGAGTTTAAAGTAGGCAAGGGATAACAACCAAAGAAGAAAAACTCATGAGGACTAGAGATCACAAAGCGTAATTTTAATAGTCACTCAACCAAGTATTTTATATTTTTTATGGTTACTCTGAACAGCAACTAAATGTGAAACCCAGTTTCTTGAGCAGGTCAGATTCTAGAATCAAATCCACCTAATTTAAATTGACTAGCTCACACATTCCCTATCCACAAGTTTCACATCATGCTCATCAAAACCCATGACAGTGAAATTTAAAAAGAAAGAAAGAAAGAAGAAAAAGTTTATATGAATATTTTGTACTTGAACACTTGTAGCTTGCAGCAGGTTCCGTTGAATGTGCTCTGTGTCCTACACATGTGTCCACCGTGCTACACCGACACCTCACACTCCAGCCAAATGGCTAATCCGTAAAGATACTACTTGCAGTTGAAGAGCATATCTGACTACATCCATCACTATGCTCTGAGACTCCACGTCAGGTGTATGACCTAGACCATGACTTGATGGGGGTGATTAGGTGCTTTCAGAAAGGAAGAGAAACTCACAGACTCCAAAAACCAACCTAGATCTCAGTTGTGCTGTGGAGAGTCAGCATGGGATGGGGTTCTGCACGCTCAGTCGTGCTCATTTGTCTCTCATCACCTGCTTTCTCAACCCCACAGCTCATGTCCCTGCGCTTCCCAGGGAGAGCTGTTGACAATACTTGAGAGTTGCTGCCAGGGCCCCTGTCCATGCTGCCTCAGAATACTGCCCAGGTGCCGTCTTAGCCATTCAGCAAAGGGAGGGCCAGGGGCCCCAGCACTGAATTCCCGTGGTGCTTTGCCAAGAGCAGTTAACTTGGTGCTAATCTGGTGAAATAGACAAAAGATGAGTGGTTTCTGTGGCATTTTAGGCACAGGTTTGCCATCAGGATCTGCTTTTCTCCAACATAAATATCAGCTCATCTGTTTATTTAAACAGATTTCTTACATTATTGATTAAGGGCTATTTTTTTTTTTTACCTCACTTGGAAACGAACATTGCGAGGGCCATCCTCCCGGGCACCAGGCACCCCTGACTGGTTGTGGAAGAGGAGGGCAGCCAGTGCCCTCTGGGGTGTGCACAGCACCAGGGGGCTCCCAGGGCCAGCATCAGGTCACCTTCTCAGAAGGAACCAAGCACAGAACGTAACAGGACTAAACATTTCAGATAGGCCCTGAATTAAAATCCGAGTGAGGAAAAATGTCACATTCCACAGCACACCACAATACCGCTGCTGCTCTGTAGTCAACCGCGTGGCTACATACGCTCTTTTCCTAAATAGTAACAGCAGGATCATCAGTGAAGGCTGAGCCCCCATGGCAGGCCCTCCAAAAATAGTGAGCTCTATAGACTACTTAGGGAGCCCCAAGGAAGCTGGTACCCCGTGGCTGAGAACAGTATCTGCCACTGGCAGAAAAGCCTACTCAAAACGGAAAGGGAAATATCCCCAACTGATTAAACCCCTTGAAACACACATGACTTCCCGATCAGTTCATTTCATTAGGAATCTTTTATTTGAGTGAATGTCACATAGGTATCCTTAATAATACAGAATGAAATTACCTTTGTATTATTGTGATTAGTTGTTGCTTATTATTTTGTACTCAGTATTAATGTGGTACACTGTTACTTATTTTTTTTTTGCTTTTGTAAATTATATTCTAATTTATTGCCATGTTTCCTAACACTTGTCCTTCATTCATTCTCCTGCTTGTAATGAAAATGAAAAGTCATTGTAACACTTGATGGAGTGAAATTCCACACCAGGCACAGATTTTTTATTAACATAGATAATTTAGTAAAAATAAAAATTCAGCTTGTAAGAATGATTCCAATGGAAGTTGTCTATTTCTTTCTTTTTTTAAAAAAAATATTTTTTTATTGATTTTTTACAGAGAGGGAGAGGGATAGAGTATTAGAAACATCAATGAGCGAGAAACATCGATCAGCTGCCTCCTGCACACCCCCCACCGGGGATGTGCCTGCAGCCAAGGTACATGCCCTTGACTGGAATTGAACCTGGGACCCTTCAGTCCGCAGGCCAACGCTCTATCCACTGAGCCAAACCGGTTAGGGCAATGGTTGGCAAACTGCGGCTTGGCAAACCACGGCTCGCAAGCCACGTGCGGCTCTTTGGCCCCTTGAGTGTAGCTCTTCCACAAAATACTGGCTCTTCCACAAAATACCGACTTCTGCGCATGGGCCACGAAGTTTCAATTGCACTGTATATGCGCACCCGCAACTGTATATGCGCGCCTACACCTGGTATTTTGTGGAAGAGCAACACTCAAGGGGCCAAAGAGCCACATGTGGCTCGAGAGCCGCGGTTTGCCGACAACGGGGTTAGGGCAATTTCTTGAACAGCTGGTATTAAACTTGCAGGAGTTATCCCTTGGAATACCACAGCTACATTATCCTAGTTTTCCAGGTAGTATCCAGGATTGAGTTAATTTATTGAATCCTTGTCACCTTTCCCAGAGATTGCACCTATTTATTATTATTATTGACTAGAGGCCCGGTGCACAAAAATTTGTGCGTGGGGGGGGGGTGTCCCTCAGCCCCACTTGTGCCCTCTCACAGTCTGGGACCCCTCGGGGGATAACAACCTGCTGGCTTGGGCCCCCT